AGAGAGAGAGAGAGAGAGAGAGAGAGAGAGAGAGAGAGAGAGAGAGAGAGAGAGAGAGAGAGAGAGAGAGAGGGAGCCAAAGGGGTGGTGTCCCGCATGAGAGAGGACAAGAGAGGAGCGGTGGCATGACCATATGCATGTGTGGGCTAGGGAAGCGGGGATCTGTATGAGTCAGGGAATGAAGGGCGGCGCAAACGCTCTTGCAAGAGAAAGAGAGGCGATGGTGCGGATGGCGAGAGAGCGAGGCAGCGGTGTGTGTGAGAGCGGGTGAGCCAGAGAAGCCACTGAGAGAGGGCAAGGCAGGCGGGGCTGCATGCATGTATTCATGCGTGCGTGCTAGAGTACTGGGGACATGCCCGAGTGAGGGAAAGGGAGGTGGTGTTGTGGGCGTGCATGCAAGAGACAACCCCCCTCTCATCGCGCCCTCTCTCTCTCTTCATGCTGGCACACCCCACCGCCCGCCCTCTCTCTCTCCATGTTGCACAAGAGAGATGAACAGGCGCATTTGAGGTGAAGTGTCCTCCATCGAGAATGCTTCAATGAATAAACAGTGAATCCCCATCACTTCAGAATTCAAGTGCACCACCCATCGTCTTTTTGTTCGCAAGCAAAGCTGCAACAGGTCATTTAGTCTAAATAAAGTCAATTAAAGGACCCCCCTCTGCATCCCTATAAACTCGGTCTATAGCCCCTATGTACCCTTTGAGGCCCCTACTCATAAAACAAGCATAGTTGTGTTGTATTTGGGATGTGCAGCATGCCTTTTTTCTTGGCCTTTTTTTTTCCCTTAAATTATCCGGGACCCCATAATCTGGAGCAGATATCCGACCCAGATATGTAAAGTCACCTCGTTACAAAATTGCCCTAATGATGAAACAAAGAACACAGGACCAAATAATCTCTTCTCTATCTCTTCTCTTCTCTTCTCTATCTCTATCTCTATCTCTATTCTTTCTCTTCTCTTCTCTTCTCTATACTCCTAAAGCAAGCAAAGGGCCCAGCGTGACGCGTCCCGCCGGGCCCAGCGGAAATCGGTGTGGAGGGGCGCGGGACTTCGGCGAGGAAAGCGGACGCGGCGTTTCGTGGAGGCCCGGGGCAAGGGAATAAGGGCACGGCGTTTTGCGGCGGCACTGCAGGCGTGACAGAGACCGCGGCGCGTGGAATTTGGCCGCGGCGGTTCATGGAGGCCCGGAGAGGCCTGCGTCGCGTCGGGCCCAGACGGACTCGCTGCCGTGCGCCGGGCTGAAAACGGAAGCGCGTACGGAAAATGGACGAAAACGACTTGCTGCCGCGCGCCTCGCACTTGGAAGCCTTTTGGGTGGTTTTTCGCATGCTACTATTCGGGCGCCGTCGGAGAGTGGGAGGAGGAGGTCGTGCGAGGGGGAGGAGGAGGTTGTGCAAGCGGGAGGAGGAGGTTGTGCAAGCGGGAGGAGGAGGTCGGAAGAGGGGAAGAA